AGCATTTGAGTTCCACTCCTCCACCCACCTCCTTCCCGGCCTCCGGGACTTCTGGAGCCGAGTTATGAATTTTCGTCGCAAACTCCGCCCACTTTGGTCAAGCCCCGCCCACCGATGACAGCTGGCCTCCACTCCTCCACCCACCTCTATCCACCTTTTTCCGGCTCTTTAAGGCTTCCCCGCGAGGCTTGTAGAAAATGCTGTACACTTCAGAGCGCGCCCCGCCCATTCTGGCGGGCCTCCGCCCACGTCATGTATGCAGGAAACACCTTAGACATTGCTCCCTTACACCAAATTGTTTTCTGCTCTGTAGGCTTTCTCCCAACCGAGTTATGAAATTTTTCATAAAGCACTGCTTTTTTAGAGAACGCCCCGCCCACCGGGGGTGGGTCTCCCTAATTCGATGTGACTTACCAATGCACACCTTAGCCCACTTTTTGGCCCAGTTTCGAGGTCGTTTTGTCACTGAAATCGAAATCTTGGTCTTCGGTACAATTCATTTCGACGCACGCCACGCCCTCTGTGGGCGGGGCTCCGCTTAGCTGATGTGAGTGTTTTGTATTACGTGGAGTCAGTTTCTGCTATGGTAGGAGCTCCTCCCATTCCACCACATGCGTTGCCGATTGGTTGTGATTTCCGCAAGGTCGCTCTTCATGCACTAAATGGATATCTTTTTCAATGGTGGTGCTTTTCTAGCCATTTTTACACGATGAGTGCACCGTTTAGAATTTGGTTTTTGACACGTTCGACGCGAGCAAGCTAGACAGACTCAAACGAGTTGCCGTAGAGGATCACAATGGAAACCGTGTGCTTTCGATGCATGAAGTTTTCAACGATATCATGCTGGAACCTTATACATCATTGGAATGCGCGACCTACTCTTTTCTTTGCCACTTTTATACAAAGGTAAGTAGCAAGTAGTAGTGGCGAGTATTGTGTCTTTCGGATGCACTTTAATGTCTGAAGACTGGCTCGAAGGCAGGTGGCGCGATTAAGTGGGGATGGAAAGGTGGAAATTGCGCCTACTTCACAGGGAGGCTGGCCGCTTGAGGAGCACATGTGGAGCGCTTCCATGGCCCAGGGCCCGCTGATAGTGTTATAGCAAGGTTTTCCCGTTCCTCTGAACATCCAGTGCCACTGCCCTCCCTCCGATCAGCTACCTTGGCTGCTAGTCCCTTGCAGCTCTTTTGGCAGAGAGCTAACAGAGCATTCACGTTGATAAGTTCACCACCGCGTAGACTCCTCCGCGGGAATCAACGAGGAAACGAAGGATCCCGCTCGCGAGTTGTAAACGTTTTCCTGGATTTTTTTCTTCACTGCTGTATCTCTCAAATCCTGTATTTTCCTATCAGATGGGCGACCTATCATATCACTGCCTTCAACGGGTGACAATTTAACTCGCTAGATAGCCGTGGTGTCAATAATTATGGTCAGCCTCTAGACAGCCTCAGTCGGAAAACGCTGGTTTTGTTCATACATAAGCCTCTCATATCTAAATGTAATACATCTATATGACCATGGACCGGGTGCAGCAAGCCCCAACTCGGAAATGGGTCCCCAAAACTTTGCATCTCTGGACGCTCCATCTATTCTTGACCACGAGAGTTGCGTCATTGACCAAGTAGAGACGCAGAGTTTTGGGGCTGCACCCGGCCCCGTAAGAAAACGGGTTCCACTATCTCGTCCCGTTATGATGTTCATTAATTTTTTAATGCACCGGACATGTCTGAAATGCACCTTGAAAAATGGAGGCCTCCAACAAAGCCTCACCTGAAATGATAGTTTTCAGCTCTAAAAAAAGAGAATGATACCGTTGTTGATGGCACATCACCCACAGAAACATAACACGTTCCCACAGACTCTTGTGGAAGGAATAGCCTGTAAGTGACTATTTTTTTGTGAGCCTCAACACTGCTAATAAAGATTTTTCATTCAAGCTGCCATCATTATTGGTTATGACTTCCAAGACCAACTTCACAACGATGCCTTTATGATCCACGAGTTGAAGGTGAAAATTGAAAAACAACTAAAGGCCGATTTCGAAGTGCTACGGTTAGCAATCTTTTGTGTCTGCGCTTTTTCAGCTCTTCGTTTCGCAACAAATTATATCTTTTTACAGTTCGAATGTGAAGGCAGTAGCTGAAATTAACTGCTAGTAGGCGACCCGCCACCTTGAGAAAAAATAAGGACTGTAAGCTTCCTGAATACTGGTTATCAATATGTTCCACTGACATATTGACTTGATATCTTGTTGTTGTTGGATAACATATATAAGTATGTATCCAGAGTCCTGCATTAGCTGCTCATACAGAAGAGTATATTTATCACTTATGAGCTTTTGATAGTTCCTGTTCTTGTTCACTATACCTCGCCTGTTTATTGTTCTTTCTTACTGTACTTGTTCTTTTTGTTTTTCTTTTTCATTTCCTTGTTGAGAAGTCATTCCAGAATGCATGTAACACCGATGATGTGCTGTATAGTGCATTGTAAAAGTATGTATATTGTTTCTTGTTCTTTGAAGGTCACTAATAAAAATGAGTAATCTGGCTCTTTATGGGTTGACTGATCATGGCTACAAAGTTGCTGTTCCCATAAATAGCCAGTTATGCAGCGTTTGCTGTGGTTACCTCTTCGATAAAAATTTCCTCCCTGTTTTCTTATGTTTCGTTAGGCCTCCAATCAAGTTTTTCACACAAGTATTCCTCGAGGCCCGACCTTCGCCTTCCAGATAGCGAGGTAATTCACCATACCATGGAAGCCGTAAGCAGCTTTACCTCAGTTCCGTGGTAAAAATTTGATCAAGAATCACTCACAGGCGGGAGCTGGAGGTAGTAGGCAAGTGGCAAGTGTAGGCAAGTGGCGCCATTCCCCACGTGCAGAGTCTGGGTAATATCCCGAATTAGACCTTGCCCAAGTCAGTGAATCTTCCCACAACACAGGGGTAACCACTTGATAACAGACCAGTCTGGTAGGATGAAAACACATAGGTCACATCGAATTCAGTGTGAGCATTCAAAATTCCACTAGGGCTCTGAATGGAAGTATAATATGTAGAATGCTAGGCAACATCGAAGGGAATCAACCAGTGTGAATATCACTTATGCTTTTAAAACCACTCAGATGTACCCCACTTGCCACAAACGGTTTCGGCGGCTGTCAGCGTGTCTAGGATACTCGACTATACCTGAAAAACGACTCAAAAAGCCCGGACCAAGTTGGGATGCGTGGAGTGTGAGCCAAGAAATACAAAACGAACATCAGCCAAGCAAAGCCCCATCCACGTTGGACAAAAATGCGCCTGAATGGGCAGTGCTTAGTGCGCAATTTTCCAAATGGATCCCTAATTGGAACAGCCCAGAGATCGGGAAAAAATGGATAAAGGTGGGCAAAGGGTTGCGAGGCCTTACTCTGAAATTCGCCTATAATAGGGGTTCTCTAAACAGACTGTGCGTAATAAAAAAATTTATGACTCCATTATGAGAAACTCACAAAGTAGGAAAACGATCAAGAACCAGGTGCTCTCAAGTAACTTGATGTGTGAAGGCCTGCCTACAAGGAGTAAAGCATCTTTTCAAATGAGCGAATACTGTACAAATCCTCATAAATCTATTCTTAGAAGGTTC